AAACCAAAGCAATTGTTCCTAATCCAGTAGGCAAAATAAAACAATTGTACCCTCTTTCTCAAGAGTGAGGCATAGTAGAAATGGAAGAAGCAATGGAAGCAAACTGTAGGAAACAGTACACACAGATATAACATAGCTCACAGTATACTATATTTTTTAAAAACTACTTTTTCAAGAATAAGGTAGCAAAAGAGAAGTATGTCAAATAAGTCTACTTGGTTGCAAGCAACAGTTGACAACTAAGTAGCGTAAGAGAAGGGAATGTATTGGAAGGACATGGAATGCTCACAGGATCAGTGTGAAGATGAAGGAATGGACCTACAACAGAAAGTGACCAAAGGAGCTCAGAGGCCAGCAGCAATTACTCAGCGGTGACCTATTAGCACTCATGATCTGGTGAGCACGTGACCACAACACCTCAAACTCTCTTCTATCTGCATTCAACTCTTTCAACACTAGAGGGGATCTCACCTATTACCGCTTTGTCCTCCTAAGTAGGAGCTCTTACCTAACCTGCCCACAGTAGGAGAGAGTTAATGTTCTAAAAGGAAACTGTATTGCCATTTGGAGAAGTGAGGTGGATGCTAGAAAATCAAAATATGAGAAATATCCATTCCAGGCTGACTTTAAGAAACATAACTGTGATATTAACATCAGATAGTCCTATAAGGAAAAAAAAAAGCCATCCCAAATAAACGGCAAGAAAACAGTGCCCTATGCAGGGAATGTAGGATTATCCCAGTTTAAAACTGCCATATTTATGGGAAGAAATGTCACAAAAGACACATTCTTGCAAATAATTTACACCTATACAACTCACATTGGGAAAGATAAAGGGTAGAATAAGCTGACTAAAGAGCAATCAGAGAGGTTACCAGAAGAAGAAGCTGAAAAAGAAAGGGAGGGTTGATGACAGAGGCTTAACGAAGGGCAGAGAAAAACCAGAACTCTTCAGTGTTTATTTTAGTATTCTAGACCTTGAAAAGAGCTCTCCCAATTAAAAAGGGTAAAGATGGTTAGAATGAAAATAAATATCTAATATAAGTAAGTAGATAGCAAAAGAGCATGTACCTATTTTTAAAAGAATTCAAAACTACATCCTAGAGAAATTACATGACAGAACATTGGAGAAACTTGGAAACGTGATCAAGGAAATGCTGTCCGTAATTTCTTAGAGAGATGGTTGGAGAAATGTCAGAAGTAATGAATGAGGCAAATGCTGTTCCAAATTTGTTAAAATGGTAAGATGACAGATTATGGAACTATAGCTTGGTGTGAAATTCACAAATGGGTTATTAAACAGATAATTTATGAGCAGGTAGACAAGAAAACTGCCACATAGCATGGGCACAGTAAGATAAGTGAGGGTGACATAACAGAAGGAACTGGAGTCAGACAACCTGGACTCATTCTGTCACTAAATAGCTGTGTGAACATGAGCATATCGTGTAACTTCTTTGAACTGCAATATGTTTATCTAGGAAATAAGGTTGTTAAATTAGGTGTCCTTTAAAGGTCAGTTTATCCACAGAGAACATGCCAGCCCCAAGTGTGTCAAATTTACCTTGATTCTTTCAATAGGGCTACCCAATGATAAAAGAGCTGCCATTTATTAAAGAATGTATCTCGTATTAGGTGTTTATGTAATTTTATGAAATACATCAGTCCTATGACAGACGGGTGTTATTAATTCCTTTTTTCAAATAATGAAATTGATACCCAGAGTGGCTAAGAAACCAGATAAAGCAGAATCAGAGTGTATCTTGATATCAATGACTCAATTGACAGATATCCTGTGCTATAATACACAAAGTGAATGTATTTAGGATGGAAAACACTATAATGAGATAACACTACAATCAACAAGGCAAAAATTCTTTTTTGTTTGGATAGTTATATTTAAAATATATTTCTTGTCAACCAAATTGTTTATAAAATACTAAAAGATAAAAGGTTGTTTTCAATAGAAAAAGTTCTGATTAAATTTGTCAAAAGAGAGAAAATACCTAGAATAAATATGCAGATTAATAATTTATACTTATATTCATTTACTCAAGTATCACATCCAAACCAGGATTTGAGGTAAACTAATTTATTCACAGTATAGTAAGTATTCAAACACAGTGGAATTTATTAACATTGAAAGTGCATTCCCGCAGTTGGCATCTAAACCATCTTTCCAAACAAAACTGGGCAGAATTTTGTCTTGGGAAACTGTAACAAGGAATAGGAGTGAGTGGATTTGGCTCTTGGGTTGCTATTTGGAGCTCCCCAAAATGATTGGGAAGGGAGTATCTAGAGTTATATCTAAATACGTTTTTCCCCTTAGGCATCGGATAGGAGGTAAGGGAGTTTTGGGTTAACAAAATTTCTATTAAAGTGTTCCAGTTCATTTCAAGTTGATTTCAACCATTTGAAAAATCTAGCATAGAAGGCTGATGTAAACATCAGTTTCAGTCACAGAAGAGGGTGTTTAGACTTGGGAAGCCAAAACAGTTCCACAGTTTCCGCCTTGGCCAAGCCACATCCTGAACGTTGGTGGGTTCCCTTCTGCCTGGTCCATGGCCCATGGTCCATGGGGGTTCCCTTCTCCATTCACCTTTTTGAAAGTTCTGAAAAGCATAGCAAATGAGAAACAACTGAGACAACTAGGAAAGATGGGTGACAGGAAGACTTCTTTCAAATATATGTGGAGACACTGTTTGGAAAAGATAGTTGGTTTGTTCTGAGACTCTGAGAACAAAGCTAGAAATGGGTAGAATTGTAAAGCACTTTTTCCAATTAAAGCCTTTCTAAAATGGAATGGGATGCCTTTAGGAGTGATAAGCCTTCTACTCGTTTGTTCTTTTCAGTTCAATGAATATTTATTAAAGACCTACTGTGTTACCATTTTTAATGCTGAGAATACATCAGTGAAAAAGGCAAAAATTCCTGCTCTTGCATTATCTGTGTTTTAGTAGGGGTAATAAATAATAAAATAATTAAAAAAGAAAAAACAAATTAGCAGCATATATATTATATATCAGTATGTTAAAATGTGAAACAGTTATGGGAAAGACTAGAATGAAAGAGATGAGCAATGAGAAGAGATAGAGAATGGGACAGGCGTAATTACAAATATGGTTGTTAGAGTAGGACAGCCTCACTGAGAAGGTGACTGTATTAGTCAGGGTTCTACAGAGAAACAAAACCAATAGGATATTTAGAGATATTTAGGAGAGATTAATTATGAGGGATTGGCTCACTCAATTGCAGACACTGAGAAGTTCCATGACCTACTATCTGCCACCTAGAGGCCCAGGAAAGCCAGTGGTGGAGACCAGTTCAAGCTTGCAGGCCTGAGAACCCAGGGAGCTCTTAGTGTAGGTCCCTGTCTGAGTCAGAAGGCGTGGGAACCAGGAGCACTGATGTCAAAAGGCAGGAAAAGATGCAAGTTCCACTTTCAGCAGAGAGCAATTCACCCTTCCTGTGCTTTTATGTTCTATTCAGGCCTTCAGTGGATTAGATGCTTCCAACTCACACGGGGAAGGAAGGATCTTCTCCACTCATCTACTGATTCAAATGCGCATCTCTTCCAGAAATACCCTCGCAGGCACACTCAGAAATAAGTTTTGCTAGCTATCTGGATATTCCTTAAGCTAGTTAACTGGACACATAGAATTAACCATCACAGTGACATTTGAGCAGACTTCAGGGAAGGACGTGGGGGAGTGATCTCAGGGAAAAGTATTCCAAGGAGCAGGAAAAGCCATGCAAAGACCTGAGGTAAGGCTGTGAAAGCAAGAAGACTTCCCATGTATTACTTCTCTGAAATGCTTGAGATCAGAGGTATTTCAGATTTCAGATTTTTGGGAATGTTGAAATATTTGTATAGACATAGTGAGATATCTTGGCAATGAGACTGAAGTCTACACATGAGATTCATTTATGTTTCTTACATACCTTATACACACAGTCTTAAGATATTTACATACAATGTATTAAATAATTTTGTATGTTTTGACTGTGACTTGTCACATGAGAGAAGATGTGGAATTTTCTATGTGTGGTGTCATATCAGCACTCAAAAAAGCTTTGGGTTTCAGATCATTTCAGATTTTAGATTTTTGGATTAAAGATGCTCAACCTGTATTTAAGCAGAGTTTGGCAGAGCATTTCGGAGAGAAGTTGAAGATAAAATTTCTGCTTTTGGTAGAAGCTAGGGCTAGATAGCCTCTGATGAGTCTTCCAACTTGATATTCCCTGAGTATATGATTCTCTGGTAGCTGGGAATCATGAATTTGGTAGCAGCAAGCAGCATGGGTTAAGACCAGAGGTGCCAGACCAAAGCTCACAAATCCAAATGGTGAAGGGGTCAGACAAATAGTATAAACATTTAAAAAGATTGACAATACATTCAAGATTTTAAACTATTCTGAAAACCAAATGAAGCATGTTTTCAGGCAAAATCTTGCCTAGTGGCCACCAGTTTGAGACCGTTGCATTACAGAAAGTGAAATCAGGGGTGTAATGGTGTAATACATATATAAAGTCTTAGACAGTAAGTCAAAGGAGAATAAATGATAAAAGAAGAAATCTGAGAGTCTTTAATGAGAACTATTCCTTTGTTGTGATTTGACAGGAAGCCCAAAGAAAAGAGAGAATCAAAGATTACTCTGTAGCATAGAGCCCAGGAGACCAATTCACGATGACTTTGCTCTTCCCCAAGCGAAGTTCATATTGCTTATTTTCCACTATTATCAATGGCTAGATACTGATTTGTCCTCTCATGGTCTATTTATACATAATTGCGTAGCATTTAGGAACTTAGAATTTAGTTAGAGGGAGAAACATAAGCCAGTGCAACCTTTTTCAATTATTTTGTGTCTACAGTGTAATTGCAATTATGAAACATTTTGGCAGAGGCTCAGAAATAACCGACTGTGATAATTACAAAGAGACTGATGAAACCTTCATTCTTTTTGTTTTAATGTATGACTTGTCCTATTTTCTTGCTGCAGGTGCTTTCGTTTGCAAGATGGTGCCATTCGTCCAGTCTACTGCTGTTGTGACAGAAATCCTCACTATGACCTGTATTGCTGTGGAAAGGCACCAGGGACTTGTGCATCCTTTTAAAATGAAGTGGCAATACACCAACCGAAGGGCTTTCACAATGCTAGGTGAGGCCACTGGATGTGCCAATGGCAGTGTGAATGACATTCTTCATTACAGAACAAAGAGAACCATATTTTTAAACTAGAAGGATAGCTTCTTATCTAATTTGATCTCAGTAGGCGTTGGAATATAATTTGAGAGTCTCAGTGCTCTCCCTGTTTGCCTCCACCTCCTCACCATCTCTCTTTTCAGCCAACCTCAGCACTGAAAATGTATCATTTTGGATATACTTTTTTAGCTTACATCTTAAATGTTTAAGCACTACGTTAAGCTAATCCAGGATAACCCCATCAGTGGCATTGCCATATTAACGTTCATTAGATCGGGAACTGTCATCTTTTGCTTGTTTGTTTTGTTTTTTAAAGACAGAGTGTCAACTATGTTGCCTAGCCTGGTCCCAAATGTCTGGGCTGAAGTGATCCCCCCACCTCAGCCTCCCAGAGTGCTGTGATTACAGGCATGAGCCACTACACCCGGCTGGGAATTATTATCTTCCGATAAGAGGACTCTAAGCTAAAATAACAAGGGCAGTTCGATTTTTTTTCTTTCTTTCTTTTTAAGACAGGATCTCATTCTGTCATCCAGGCGGCAGTGCAGTGGTGCGATTACAGCTCATTGCAGCCTCAATCTTGAGCTCAGTGATCTGATCCTCCCACCTCAGACTCCCAAGTAGCTGGGACCACAGGTGGGCGCCACCATGCCCAGTTAATTTTTTTAAGTTTTGGTAGAAGCAGGATCTCTCTGTTTCCCAGGCTGGTCTTGAACTTCCGGGCTCAAGCCATTCCCCCTTGGCCTCTCTTTGTACTCCTTGGTCTCCCAAACAACTAGGATTACAGGTGTGAGCCACTGCACCTGGTCAGGCAGATTGATACTGATAGGGAGCAGGAGATGTGTTTTTAGAAAAGTAGAGAACAGGAGTGCTGCCCTTGTGGTGAGAACAGAAGGATAGAAGGTGACAGAGTACATGAAAACAGTGGATGCTGAGTGCTGGGGACTATTCCTGAGTCAGCAAGTCACAATGAACACATACCTCATGATAAATTGTAAATTTGCAAAAATGTCCTAAAGTCTAACACAGTAAAATGGAAGCATTTCTCTATTCAGTAATTATAATTGAACCATTTAAAACCTTAATGTGCTTCACAGTGGTTTGAATTTAATATAGCTAATAATGAGAGGCGTAGCAAGCAACTAATGTGATAATCAAAGAAAGCAATTTTTACTAATAGCTCGCTTGAGAAGAATGAGTAAACAGTTATTTCTGCTGTAAGAATTTAGCCAGTATTGGGCTGTGGAATTACAAAAAAAACCTTGCAGGCTTTGCAATGCCAAAGTCATTTTAAATAGCTTGAAGGTAATACCTAAATCGTTAGGGGAGAAAGATGTTGGTTTTAGTTAGTTTTAATTTCATGCCATGTCTTTCCTACTAAGAATTCCAAGATTTCTGGGCTTTTAATAATTGACATCCTTCCAACATCAGAACACTTGAAAACAGCATGTGGGGATGGAAAGCGAGTAAGGAAAGGATTCCATGGAGGAGGGAAGTTATTAAAAAGGAAAGAGAAGTGGCAGGAGTGACAACATCTCAAAGCATAGTTGGTAATAGGTCAAGGCAGTTCCTACTCAAAAGAGACCTAGGAGAGAAGAAGGTTTTAAAATCAAATAAACCAATCTCGCCCCAGGGGCTTTTGTGGACTGTTGTCTAATGTCACACTATGACCCAGCTTTGTCAGTCACTATTTGTATGTCACGTCCCATCCCTCCTTCCAGCTGAGATTGCCTAGACCTAGACAGGGGGTCTCCAATCTTTTGGCTTCCTGGGCCACAGTGGAGGAAGAATTGTCTTGAGCTACACATAAAATACACTAACACTAACGATAGCGGATGGCTTTTAAAAAAGATTGCAAAAAACTCTAATAATAAAGAAAGTTTACAGATTTGTATTGGGCCACATTCAAAGCCTTCCTGGGCCACATGCAGATTGGACAAGCTTGGCCTAGACCCTCTAGGCTTTCTTGCCCAGATGTGGTCACTGTATCAGTACTGTTCGTCTAACTCTACCCCTTCTATCACAGAACCATCCAGGGATCCAGGAAGGTAGGAAATGAGCTATGCCAATTAGACTCAATTCCTCCAGAATTTGTTCTAAAGACCAGAAAAATTATTGGTCATAAGATAACTACATGTGATTAAACTATAACAGGTGTGTATGGTAATATGGAGACCGAAAAGAAAGAGTGAGAAATAGAGACGGCCAGATAGACAGACAGACAGACTTGTGAGTCCCACAGCTGCCTGGCATCATTGGATCATGATGAATTTCTATAGGCAGTACCAGATTATGTGTTTCTTTATAATAAACCCCAATTATGGCTCAAGTGAGTCACTGAAACCCAAAGCAATGAACTGTTTTCTTAACGTTCCACCCAATATAGAAAGAACAAGCAGAGTTCGAGCTGGAAACTTTTCCCCCAAATCAAAGTTGGGGATCTTGGTTCTGTCCTCTTCCATGTCTGTTAAGACACATGAGTTGAAATTGTTCTTGGTAGTTAATCCTTTTTTTTTTTTTTTAATTTTCTAAGAGTACATTATTAAAGAAATTCCTTTCAACAAGTTCGTGGAGGACAGGGAATTTGGAAAGAGCATTCTGGTTTCTGAAGTTATTAGTGTTTGTTTCCTAAATAAGAAAATAATGCCCATGTTACGGTACTTCAGATAAATGTACATTTGATTTTAAAAAGAGGTGATAGAGGGTGTTGTATGTCATGTTTAAAAAGTTATTCATCCATTCAGCAAATATGGATCAGCCCCTATAGAGGGCCAGGAATTTTCCTAGGACTCTTATTTGAAGAAACACAAAAATAAATGGTATTGTGTTTGCTTTCAAGGAGTTGGAGGAAATTGAGAAGTGAGTAAGGGCAACCAAGACACTGCTCTAGAGAGCATGAAGAGACAACAAGAAATTAGTAGTCAGTTTATTTGGAAATAGTGGCAGCCTTCAAAGGTTCTCTGGAGAAGGTGATTTCTGAGTCAAGTCCTGGAAAATGAATACAGATGGACACTGGGAATAGGGTGGTCAGGGAGTGGCACAATGCATTCTGGGATACAAGAACTGAAATCAGCGCTGCAGGCTCCCCAGTAGGGGACTGCGGTGTGAAGAGCAAGCATGGACTGAAATGAGAGAAAAGAGACGGGCAATGGAGACGGTCGAGAACCTAATGGGCCATGCTAAGGAAACTGGGTTTTATCTTGTAGGCAATGGAATACTATTAAGCATTTAAAGCTTGTTTTATGAATTTTATTCCAGCAGCAGTTTTGAGGGTGGTGAAAGAGGTGAAGCATGAACCTTGGAGGAGACTGTGGCACTGCCCTAGGGCAGAGAACAGCTGCCCTCCTATAGGGGACCTTGATGGTTAGAGAATTATGCATGGATGTATTTTCCTCAACTGAGTCATACTCTGATGACTTCATCACTTCTACAGGTGTGGTCTGGCTGGTGGCAGTCATCGTAGGATCACCCATGTGGCACGTGCAACAACTTGAGGTAGACTCCAGCTGGGATTGATAATCATATTGTTGAACAATTTTCTCACCTGTCTTCATTGTAATTATTTTCCTTCCTGCAGGAGCAATACAGCAAATTTTTATGACCTCAAGTATTTCACTGGAGGTCTTTCAAGTACAATAAAACAATTTTTAAAGGTTCATTTTCTCTGTTTTTATCTAGCTCTTCTTGATATATTGTTAGGACTATAATGCTTAAAATACAATTTTTAAAAAATACACAGGTCACTTTCTACATTTTCTTGCAAGCCAGGCATGCTTTTCCCAGTGTCCCCAAATGTTTTGTTACATTTTAAGAATTGAATGATTGCTCTAGGTTTTTCTTTTAGTTTTCAATCAAGTAAAAAAAATTGTAATAAATTGTCTACTTAGTTGACTCTCTTTCAGAAGTCCTTTCAACCTGCCTGCTATTCATTGACACATTGAAATTCTAACTGGAAGCATGTCAGGAGATCATCTTATTCAGCCTGTCTCCTTTTCCCACACCTTTGTCTGACAGGCCCAGCTGTACTTGGGGATTCACAGGAATGAGAGCACTGAGTTGGTTTTAGGCAGGCCAGCCTGTCTGTTAGGGTGGACTTTAACATGTCTTGGATAGGTGATCTACCCAGACAGCAGTCTTCAAAGACAGCAGGGGGTTGCTCACATACCCTCTAAGATAATTTTTAAATGATTTATCCTTTTGTATCTCTTAAAATAGAGATAGGCAAATGTGAAACTTTACTGTCCATGTCATGTCATCCGCAAGAATAACAAATGAGCCTAAGGTAAGATAGCATTTAAAAAGTAGCCTGATTTTTTTTCATGTAACTGATTTGTTGGATGAGCTGAACTCCATAGGTGAGAGCAGAGAGTAACTTTATTTTATACCTTGCTACCTGTAAAAATGCATCTAAGGACTTTTTTAGTCCTCTTGGTGAAATATCATGGATGAAAAAGTCTTGAGCAACTCTTGCAGTCAGATAATAAAATTACTCTGCTCACTTTCACTCACAAGAATAGTGTGAGTTCTGTTATTAAACTGTCCTGTTCAGTACCACAATTACATAAATCCATACTCTTATTAATCAATTTACAAGTTTCCCTTTCCTCAGCGTGAATAGTTTTCAGGTCCAGAAATGTGAAGGAGTTATGATCAGCTTCTTCTCTGTTTCCCCACCCCTCTCACTGCCCCCCTTACTACTGTCTGCCTCTCTTTCCTCAGAAGCTAATGAGGGGAACGGGGAGAGGAAGGGACAGTTGTCACTGGAATCAGTGCCCTCTAGATGTGGTGGTATGGCCTGTGACTGATTATTTGCTTCAGGACTTCTCAAAGATAACAGCACTGAGACCTCCAGCCGGCCAGCAAGGGATCGTGCCAGCTCCCTTCTGCGGAGGCTGCCCTTATGTTCAGCATGAAGCCCAGACTGGTGGAGCCCTTTTATAAATGACTCACTCTAGTCCCAAATGGTGTGGTCCATTTCTAGCCCATAGAAAACAAAAAAACATCCATTTTTAAATAAAATAAAAGCGTTTTATTTTATTTAATATAGAAAAGGTATTTTTATATATTTTAAAAATACTCTAAATATTTTTTAAATATATAGTTCATTATGTTTATAGAAAATGCAAGTCATGTCACTGGCAAAGCCAGTCCTCACTGTCAAATAGATCAGCCCAGTCAAAGTTCCTTCCTGTCAGGAAAATGTCTGATTAAACAAATGTATTAATATGCATCCATGGCCACCCTCTCAGTCCTAAATTCTATTAGAACAAGCAAAGACTTCCTGAGGGTATGCTCAGATGGTTTTATGGAAAATTTTAGATCTTTACTCTTCAATTTCAGATTTTCTATTCTCAAACACAAACTTCTTGAAATTTCCACTGCCTAATATCACCCTGAGCATACAGGGAGTCTGAACTTATCACTGGGATGATACAAAGCACCCCGCCTTCAGCATTTCTCACCACTGCTTCACTGGCACTGGGCTGTCTCTCATGAGTGATGTATTTGTCAATTTTCAGGCGATAGAAGCAACAAGATGGTTGAGTTAAAATTGTCATTGCTCCTGCCTCCTTACTGTATCAAAAATGCGAATTCACAACTTCGCAACACCAGTCAAATACCTTTTTTCTCTGCCAGGCTTTACCCTGAATAGAAATATATTTAAGAGAGAGAGAATCACAAAGCCCTGCCATGGGTTTATGATGCCTTAATCAGTGTGGCTTCACTGACATCAGTCATTTGAGTTGCATCTTTTCTTCGTGCCCCGGGGTAAGATTCAGTTTGGGTGAGAGATGTGACTTCTAGACGTTGGGAGAAGGGTGATTACGAAAGAGGAAGTGGGAATGAGGACCCAGCATGACACTTCAACCTTGGGGACAATATTAGGCAGTGGAATTTTAGAGAAGTATATGTAATAAGAAGATCTGAAGTTGAAGATTAAAGATCTGAAATTTTCCATAAAACCATCTGAACATGCCCTCGAGAAGTCTTTGCTTGTCCCTAGGGCTATGTGAATCTGATCCAAGACTCCCAGTCCAGCATGCTCTTAGATATGTCAGTCCATGGCTCCCTGGTCATTGGCCCTTGCAGGCTTTGCTTCCATGGAGTCGGAATGAATGTATTTAACATTCTGTTTCCAGAGAGTTTGACTCTTGAGATTATTTTGCAGTAAGAGTTATTCCTAGTTGCATTTGTAAGTAGCTCCTAGGTCAGAATTTGAATTTTCTTACCTTTGAAGAGTAACTAAAAAGCTGCTTTTCCACATTCAATTCACGTTGAAGATTGGTGATAAAATTTTCTGGGATTGTAGGCAGAAATGCATCTGAGACCTAAGGATTCACCTCCATAGTGAGTAAAATAACAATAGTTTTGGTGACTTCTCTTGTTTTTATTCCTGTTACCCAAAAATGCAACTTTTGAATATGCTTTAAATATTTAGTTTGTTCTCGAAGTAGCCTTTAAGACACTATTAATTATTTATTATTGTTATTAATAATACTTTTGAGTTTCTAAGGTTAGTCTACTAGAAATAGTATTAATAAACCAGAAGATACAATCTGAATGTTTGTATATTGACAGTAGTTTGAATCCCAATTTCTAATTCATCTCAGGATAAAAGCTGCCAGTTGCCTTTTTAATAACTTTCCAAGCAATCTGATCATTGCAATATATGAAGTAGCAGTAACAAAATACAGCTTTCAGTTTTTCAATTGAAAGATGTCTCACGCCTTGTCAAAAATCTATCTCAACAATTGAAGGAGCAAAATAATTTAATAACAAACTAGCTAGCATGTACTGCAAAATATTTTTCAATATATACTTTGGCGAATGTAATGCTCTTTCAGTCAATTGAAAACTTGTGACTAGTGGAAATAAAAGTTGAGAAATATAAAAAATGAAAGTAAACAGGCTGTGAACCTGAATTCCATTTAAAATAGAAAAGTTGGTATAAAACTCCTAAGAACTTAAGCAGTGAAGTGGAAAACAACATAAGAACAATGAAAAATGTACATTTAAAATATGTACTGGGACCAATTTGAAAGAGCTTACAAAGTGTTGTATTACTGTAACACTTGGCTGATTTCTCTTCTTTTGATGCTGACTACTGGTTCTTTTAACAAATTATTCTTATTATAAAGATCAAGTATGACTTCCTATATGAAAAAGAACACATCTGCTGCTTAGAAGAGTGGACCAGCCCTGTGCACCAGAAGATCTACACCACCTTCATCCTTATCATCCTCTTCCTCCTGCCTCTTATGGTGATGCTTATTCTGTACAGTAAAATTGGTTATGAACTTTGGATAAAGAAAAGAGTGGGGGATGGTTCAATGCTTCGAACTATTCATGGAAAAGAAATGTCTAAAATAGCCAGGTCTGTTTAATGAAATATTCACCTCTTTAAAATATTTTTAATTAGTTGTGCTAGAAGGGATAGTTGCCAGGGCTCTCAGATCCCCTAGGTAATTTAGTCAAAGCAACCTTTGTAATTCAAATTTAGGGCATGGACTGACTTTAAACTCTTGAAGTTTTACATGTGGCAGCTTGCAAATCAACCTGGAAGTTGCAGCTGTACGTAGAAAGTGACTTGGGATTTAGAGCAGATATGTTGTGGTAGGAAGACTGTGGGCTGGTGTCAGAACTCTGTGGTCCTATGGGTACTCTCTCTGTCATTCACCAGCCATGAGATATACATCAGTCTCACTCCCGAGGCTCTTCTTTCCTCATATGTACAAGGAGCATAATAACATCCATTCTTACTTAATCCCACCCAAGGATGATGCTAAAAGACATGAGATTGATCTGTATGAAATTCCTTTAGAAACCGAAGCATGTTATTTATTTTAAATTATTATTATTGATTTTTTATTTTTACCTAAGGGCTTTGTTTTCTGATTTTATTCATTAATAGAAATTTTAAAACACGACTTACTGCTATGGTACTTGTAGTCCATATCATTTATTTAATAATCTAAACTGAATGATTATTAGAAACAAAGGAAACAAAACCTTAAATGGAGGAGTCTGGTGATTTGGTGGGATTTTATCAACTTTCCAAGTGTGCAGTGATCCCTAGTGCTGTAGTGCTTAGTTTAAATAAAGAAATCCTTTCTTTCAATGAACAGGGGCCCCTCGACTGTTCAGCACCTTGGAGCCTATTGCTAAATTGTTTCCTCTCATTACCTTGGAAGAAAGAGCTGCCATTGAAATAAAAGATAATGGGCCAGGCCTGATGGCTCATGCCTGTAATCCCAACACTTTGGGAGGCTGAAATGGGTGGATCACCTGAGGTCAGGAGTTCAAGACCAACCTGGCCAACATGGTGAAATCCCATCTCTACTAAAAATACAAAAATTAGCCGGGTGTGGTGGTGGGTGCCTGTAATCCCAGCTACTTGGGAGGCTGAGGCAAGAGAATTGTTTGAACCCAAGAGATGGAGGTTGCAGTAAGCTGTGGAGGTTGCAGGAAGCTGAGATTGTGCCACTGCACTCCAGTCTGAGTGACAGCACAAGACTTTGTTTCAAGTAATGATAATAGTAATAAGATAATGAGTTTTTATAAACTTAAACGACCGTGCAGATGTATAGAGCTCTTGCAGATGTAAATCCTCTTTACAGATGTCATGGAGAAAATTAGCCTGAAGCCCTGATTAGTCATCTTGTTAAGATATATTAGACTGGGTGTGGTGGCTCACACCTGGAATCCCAGCAGTTTGGGAGGCTGAGGTGGGAGGATTGCTTGAGCCCAGGAGTTTGAGACAAGCCTGGACAACAAAGTGAGACACCACCTACAAAACATTTAAAAATAACTGGGTGTAGTGGTATGCACGTGTGGTCCAAGCTATATGGGAGGTTGAGGCGAGAGGATCACTTGAGCCCAGATTGAGACTGCAGTGAGCTATGATTGCACGACTCCTATGCAGCCTGGGCAACAGAGTAAAACTCTGTCTCAAAAAAATCAAGATATATCATATAGATGTGCATTTTAATTCTATCCCTGGAGCTTCTCATATTTCATGATTTTTTTTTTTTTTTTTTTGGCAGAGTTGGAGTTTTGTCATGTTGCCAAGGATGGTGTCAAACTCCCGGATTCGCACAATTCACTTGCCTTGTTTTCCCAAAGAGCTGGGATTACTGGTGTGAGTCACTGCACCAGACCCATATTTTATAAATGTTGATATTTTACTACCACAAGCATGAATGCTCTTTAATATAAAGTAAGAGGTTTATATGGAAGTCACGGAAGTTAGACTCCCTAAATTCACATCCAAAACACAGCCCTTACTAACTGTCCAACTCTGCAAGTTAATTAACCTTCTGTGTGTCTCAGTTTCTGCATCTATCAAATGGCTTATTGGGAAAATTAATGACATAATTTATCCCATGTATCTAGCAGAGTGCCAGATTTATAATGAGCAGACATTCAAAGAACATTTATGATATGGAAAATATTAGGATAGAAGTAATGTCAATAGGAAAAGATGATAATCATTCCACAAATAACCTATCATGAACTTAATTTAAAAATTACGTTTGAGTGGACTAGGCTCATACTTTAATAGCTTTGCTATCAATTTGGCACATTTGCCAAGGAAAAGTTAACTAATACAGTGTTTCTTTGTGGGGTTAGGAAGAAGAAACGAGCTGTCATTATGATGGTGACAGTGGTGGCTCTCTTTGCTGTGTGCTGGGCACCATTTCATGTCGTCCATATGATGATTGAATACAGTGAGTGTTTGCCATTCTCATTTGATAGACATTCTCATTCATTTCTTACTATAATAGACAGTGAATCCTAGAAATGTGTCACTGTTCACTTGGATAATAAAATACCTAACATTTCATATGTTTCTTTCATGTCTTCAAGATCACAAGGTTATTATGTATGTGGTAGGTCATTATGTATGACTATGACTAAATCTTTAATAATGACAGAAGATAAAGAAAATTTTGAGATTCCTCTCCCATGTTACTCCATCTGTTCTCCCTAAGCTATTTAAATTTTGGGAAAGGAGTGATATTCTATGAGCATTCCCTATTTAGAACCCTGACTTGAACAGTCAGACCCACAGTATATTCTCTCTGATAACCCAGGACTTACCATGGTTCTCAGTATGATTTTGTTTCTGTAGGGCCAGTGAACATTTAAGGGGTTACTGCTGCTTCCAGTTTACATGAAGCTTGGTGTTATCAAGCTGCAATGCTATGAGCCCCCTACTATGTGCTGGACACCAGGCTATGCTTGTAAGCCTAGATTCTCTAAGTGAAGACTTATCACAAAGGTTATTTTTATTCAGATATCAGATGCCTCACCCAAAATGACCTTGAGAACTTTTGACACCTTTAACTACTTATACAAGTGTAAGTCTTTGACAGGTGACAAACAGAAGTTTTATTTTATGCTCATTAAAATACATGTGCATTCTAAAATATTACTTTATTTCAGGTAATTTTGAAAAGGAATATGATGATGTCACAATCAAGATGATTTTTGCTATAGTGCAAATTATTGGATTTTCCAACTCCATCTGTAATCCCATTATCTACACATTTATGAATGAAAACTTCAAAAAAAATGTTTTGTCTGCAGTTTGCTATTGCATAGTAAACAAAACCTTCTCTCCAGCACAAAGGCATGGAAATTCAGGAATCACGATGATGCAGAAGAAAGCAAAATTTTCCCTGAGAGACAATCCAGTAGAGGAGACCAAAGGAGAAGCATTCAGTGATGGCAACATTGAAGTCAAGTTGTGTGAACGGCCAGAGGAGAAAAAAAAGCTCAAACGACATCTTTCCCTCTTTAGGTCTGAACTGGCTGAGAATTCTACTTTAGACAGTGGGCATTAGTCATAACAATATCTTCACAATTAATGCCCTTCAGATTGTAACCCAAAGAAAAAATTATTTTGAGCAAAGGTCAAATACTTATTTTATTCTTGAGATAATGACGAGAAGGAAATAAATCATGTTTCCATTAAAAAACGACACGAGGTAGTCCAGGTGCAGTGATGTTTACAACCAACTGATCACAACCACTTAACAGATTTCTGTGTTCCTTCTCCACTCCCACTGCTTCACTTGACTAGCCTTAAAAAGGAGACATGGAAATACAATTTTGAAAAATTGGTAAACCGTACTTTTAAGATTATTTCAGTGGATTTTAAAAAATCTTGTACAGAAATCAGTGTTTTTAGCTGGCAGTTTTTCTCCCACACAGTCGCTGCAATGTGACTTTCTAGGTATTACTAGATTGGATACAAAAATAACTTAAAATTATATATTTTTTCTTGAAAATTAATAGTTCAAGGCTGTATTGTAATTTTTAGTGCACTACAGTCTCTTGGAGGTAAGGTCTGTGCCGCATCATAGTCAAAGCAAAGGGAGAAGCAGCTAAGTGACGGATGAACGAGACTTAGAGGAAGATGTCTGTACTGGAGCTTTGTATAGTTCTGTCAGTTACCTTGCTGCCTTGCTGTGATGACTGGCAAATCACCTAACCTTTTTAAGGCTTCGTGTTTTCCTGCATAAACTGGAGGTGATACCTCCTCCACTTCACGGAGTTGCTGTGAGAACAAAATGAGATTTGAGCAAACAAGCCCTTTGTACTCTAAAGCAGCCTCAAGCTCTGATGCATTATCACAGCTCCCCATGTCTCAGGTCTGCCCTTTCTGTTCTCATTTCCTTTCTGATACTCTCCCCAACCGCTGCCCAATTTTACCCTCATGGCTGTATTGTAACTGGTTTCTCTAACCAACATAAGAAAGTTTGGGGAGACTCATTTCTGTGATATATTTAGGCAAAACTAACTGTCTCATATGGTTATCATCTTTTTAAGCCCCTTATTTTCACCAATGGGATTTCTTATATAAAAGGAATTTCTGTGTAGTTAGTAGATGAGGGTGTGAATCAACTCCAACCCCATGAAATTGTACTGTGCCCAAGTCTGACCTTCAAGAGCTGGGTCAGAAAGAACAATAGAGTTCCCCACCCATATTCCTTCCCCTAACCTCCCTGAAGTGCAATCCCTGTCTCTTCAATCTTCCCCTTGGCTCCCAAACGTCATGGATACGGAGGCCACCATCACAGCACTCTGTCATTTTCCTTTCAACAGCTGAGATTCCTGAAGTCCAGCCCCAGCCTCACAGCCAAAGCGTTTATTCTGCTTCCAGTTTTCCAGCACTTATTCTCTCGACAGGTAATAGAAAGGAAGAGAAGCTTAAGAGCTTATAGGACATTTTACTGGTAAAGCTTTAAGACTTGGAAACCAAGGACCTAACTGTTGGGATCTTCAAGATACAGACATTTAATTTTATATGTGTCAGTGAAGCATGCATGAAAAAGACAAAGATGAAACAGTGCGTAGTGTTAGGAAAAGTTGTCAATATGACACTGCAAAATTCACAAAGAGAAAAGAGAGAATGATTATTTGGTTTGTACTGAAGTGGACTAAATTATGGGTTATTTATATAAATTGCCTGTCGTGTCTAGTTATCCTATGACAAAACATGATTATCATTAAACATTAAACCATTAAAAATGAATTGGATTCACTGATTTTGGTTATCCTTACTCAGTCGGTAAATATTCATATAATTCTTTCTACATTTGATGCTCTAAATATGACTTAATGAAAAACAGATAAATCAACGCTGTTATTGACCATTTAATTATTAAGATTAGAAGCTTCTTTTAATTCCTAAATATTTAGATACTAGGTAATAATGTAAATATTTACTGTAATATTTCCAGACATCTTATGAAAGCTTTTTTAAAAAAAATTTGCTCACATTGCATTAAAGCTGTTTTAGAAACAGAAGTAGTAATAGCACACTTTTTTGGTCCTTTAAAAATATCATCCCTTTGCTCCATTATAAAGATTCAAAAGGTAAATATGGTTCAATCTGTTCCTGAAAATGTCCTGCTATTAGCCAAAGAAGCTCTGAATCCTATCTGGACATTGAATCCAGACACTGATGTAACACAGCCTGTGAGCCCATAGAGAGTTCACCCTGGATTTGCAAATGAACCTTGACTACTGCCTTTTCTTCTATTTTCCCTGACCTCACAGTCCTCTGAGTCTTATACTCCCTTTGTCTTCTACTCAGCCATCTGCTTTTTTCGACTTGTCTCTGCCACAGGCTGTCAGTCGTTTTATCCATCTGATTTTCCTTTACCTGGTGCTTGGAGTGAAAATTGAAAAGGCTTTGTGGACCCAGGAGATAGGGTTTGGAGTGGTACAGAATACTAGTTTTTCATCTATTACCATTTAGGCAAACCATTTGTGAAAGCAGTAAAAAGGTACGTTTCACTGCTCAGACCTCTGAGCCTTTTATTTCATTATGGATCACTGTGCCAAAAAGAGGTCAGTATCTTTTCTCACAAATCTCCAATAAGCATATGAAAAGCTGCTCAACATCAGTAGTAGTAATTTCTCCACTCTCTAAATAGGTATGACCTTCTGAGGAATATCCACAGTTCATGTCCCTTTTGATTATACTATGAAGGATAGCTCCTTTTCTCCCCCATAATTTGGTATGTTTCAGAACACCAGTGTTATACATACTAGTTTGATTAAAGATTAATTACTAATCCCAAGACCATTTTAAAAAGCAAAACCCGGTTTCAGGCCCTATACTATGCCACTTGAAGGCTTATAATAAATTAAAATATCAAGAAAATGTGTCATTGGCCTAAGGACAGATATTTAGCTGCATGCAAAATAACAAAGATACCAGAAGAAGAGGCATGAATATATAATCAACTTATTTTGGCAGAGGTAGCAGCATAATTCAATGGGGAAAATGACAACCTTAAAACAAAATGTTCTGGAACAATTGAATATTAAAGTACCAAAAATAGGACCTTGATTCTTATACCACATATAAAAATTAACTCATAATGTATCATATACTTAAACATGAGAGCTAAATCTATAAAACCTCTAGAAGAAAATATATAAGAAAATTCTGGTACCCTAAATGAGGCAAAGATTTCATAGGGCACTAAAAGGAGGAAACATAAAAGGAAATTGATAAAATTAACTTTGTCAAAATTAATAGCTTCTGCTAGTTGAAAGGTAATGGTATAAAAATGAAAAGGCAAGTCACAGATTATAAGAAAATATGTACAAAACACATCTGGTAAAGAACACATATCCATTACTTATAAAGAATTCTCACAACTCAGCAATAAACTTGGTGAATTATTTGAACAAATATTTCAACTAAAAAGAAGCACAAATCTCCAATAAGCATATGAAAAGCTGCTCAACATCAGTAGTCTTTACAAATGGCAAAACCAAACAACAGTAATACCCCCAGAATAGTTAAAGTTTAAAAGTGTTGGTAAGGATGTTGAACAACTGGAATTCTCGTGGCTGGTGGGAATATAAAATGACACAGCTATTTGGGAAACAATTGACTGATAAATTGAATGGTTATTCTACAACCCAGAAATTCCATTCCTGGATATTTTCTCAATAGGAATTAAAACACATGAATGCTCATAACAGCTTAATTCATAATCACTAAAAACTAGAAACAGTCCAGATGTTTATCAACTGGTGAATGGATAAAAGAAGTGTGGTAAAGCAGTCCAATTGAATATGACTTACCAACAAAAAAAGAATTAACTATTGATACATGGAACAACAAGGCCCAATTTCAAAAGTATTCTACTGAGTGAAAGAAGCCAGCCAAAAAAAGACTGTATGCTCTATGATTCCATTTACATACAATTCCAGAGACAACAAAATTGTAGGAATGAAAAATGGGCAGGTGGTTGCCATGGGCTAGTAGTTAAGTTTAGGCAATTGAATGCAAGAGACAGTGACTTTTTTGGGTGATAGAAATGTGCTATCTCTTGATTTTAGTAATGGTCACTTGGCTTCAAACATTTGTCATAAGTGATTAAATTTCATACATTAAAAGGATGAATTTATTGTATACAAGTTATATTTTGATTTTTAAAAATACATTTCAAAAAGGAATTTCATTTTGCAATGTAAAAATGCCAACTCTTCATACTGGTTCCTTGACCTGAAGAAGAAGAGTATCTATCATAGGAAAAGCCTAGTGAAGGCTCCTAAAACTGCCCCACCCACCACCACTCAAGAGACTAAATTTAAAATAATATTTTGGCCCCAGAGGAGCAACAGAGATTGTTGCTGCACTCAGAGGTTTAAATGATGCTGTGTATATACCCATCATATCTTCATTTGATTCACTAGAAAGATCCCTGCAAAACCTAGATGGATCATGATACATGACATAGACTGCCACAAACAAGTAGGAGCCCTAAGTGCTGTGCTGCGCTGAATGTGGTATCTTTACTGGAGCAGATTACCACAGCCTCTAGTACGCTGTATGCAGCTATTGATCAGGCCAATGCTTTGTTTTCAATGTCTGTTAAGAAGGAGAATAAGCAATAATCTACATTCACATGTAATAAACAACAATGTAGATTCTATTGTCTTAACCAAAATTATGTTTATCTGTCTGTTCCTTTACAGGATAGTCCAAAGGGACATGATGAAGTGTCTGGATATTCCGCAGAAGATCATATTGGTCTTCTGTGACATTATATTACTTACATCTGACAATATGAATATATATATATATATATATATAGTGTGTGTGTGTGTGTGTGTGTGTGTGTGTGTGTGTGAATATGTGTATACACACACACTTGCTACATGTATATAGCAAGGTCTCTGTGCTATTGGGAAATGTGTACCCAGAGAGTGGGAGATAACAGTGATAAAACTTACAGATTTAGAGGCTGCCACATTGGTGAAGATTTTAGAGGTCTTTCAAAGAAAATGACAGATTTTTGTACCTTGAACTTCCTACCACTAACAAAGAAGTACAATGCTTGGGAGGCCTCTTTGGATTTGATACTCTTTTCTAGAGAAATGTGTTTTGATCCTTTTAGTTGTAAAATGGTAGGCTGCTAGATATGAGTGTGTCCCAGAGCTGGAAAGGGCTCTGTAGCAGGTTAGGTTGTAATCAAAGCAACCCTGTCATTTTAACCATATGAATGAGAAGATCCAATAATGTAGGTTGTAGTAGGAGAAAAGCCTGTTACTTGGATCATA